TGTTATCATGCAACATGTCTGAGAGTACTATCTACACTGCACTATGTACAAAGTTTTCCTGGTAATTGTTACTTCACTCTCAATTCAATAATTCCCTAAGAAAGTCAACACTATAACGGCACAATGAAACACGGTGCATCATTTTTTGTAGCTATTTACACAATTACTAGTTATGGGTAACAAAAATGCGTACTTATACAGTTACATGTCATATTTTTGTTTTGGTGTTTTCTAAAATATGCCAATTTTATATGAAAGCATGTGTATTTGTAAAATATGTTTAACTATTCAATACAAACTTTACATCTGACATATATTATGATTTTTTTTTTCATACAAAATATGTTGATTTTGATTTGAATTTTTGCCATGGTAAAATTAGGTGGGATGACCGTAAATCCGTAGTTTTACCACAAGGAGACATATTTTATCTGGTGGCATTACTCAGATTCTGCTCTCCATATCCCAATGGCTTATCAGTGGCACAAATGGTTGACCAAAATCATGAAATTGTACAAACCTGCACCAAAAACGGGTTTGACTTCAAGTTGTACCTTCCCCATTACGAGTCATGTGAGGGCTGGAAGAACCACTTTGGAGATCAATGGCCCAGATTTTGCCAACGAAAGGCAGCCTTCGATCCTGCGGCTGTACTCGCGCCTGGCCAGAAAATATTCCCCAGAAATTGGAGGCTCAATGCTAATGATAATGTTCCTGATTTTAATTTTATTTAGGAGGTCTTTTTTAGCACTAGCAATGTAAATTAATATTATTGAGAGGAGATTTTGGATGTNATTTGGAAGTCATTAGTTCACTAAATTGTAAGATGTTAACATTTTATTATTTTAATGAGTTACATTTTCTGTGTTTACAATTATTGCTCAATTTGCATGAACCTGTGATTCTAATCACTTGTGGAGTTCAATTTGGTGTGTTTGTGAAGTAAATGATTTAATGAGGAGGCATTTGCAATACTATGGTATGTAAGTTTTTTTTTTTTTTTTTAAAAAAAAAATGATTGCAAAATAAGATTAAAGACTCGTTTATTAATTGGCGGACTGGTGTTACATTAGTGGATTGAACTTCATTTAGAAGTTTGAAAAATCAAATTCGTTGATTAGTTTATTTGATAATGCGCTATTTGACTATCTTTTTAAACCTAAACGCTAATTTTGAAAGGGCTTAATTTTTAAGTAGCATTTTTGGGAAGAGATGATTTAAAATAAGGGCAATGAAAGTAACATCTATAATTTTTTTTATTGATCAAATGCTTATTTGAGATAACAATGAATTAGAAATTATTATGTTATACGATCAGTAAATCGTACAAGTGAAAAGTCTAATTATTAGTATAAACAATAATGCAGGGTTTTTATAAAGTATTTGAAATTGAAGTTAAAAAGACTTCTCACTTCAAAGAAATTGTGATAGTTCAACAAAAATATATTTCAAGAGAAATTCTAACAGATATTTCGATTGTATATTTCCCACTGGAATTACTCCAATGAAAATATTTCGTTTCAATGAGTTTTCTATTGAAATTTCAGTTGAAATATGACGATTCCAACGTCCATTTTTTTCCTCGAAACGATAGAGTTCATTAATTGAACACATAATTACAATCGGCTCGGTAGCCGAATTGAGGGAGGCCTGCCAAAAGTAGTCTAGATCCCACAATACAACAATATAAACGCACAAAAAACTCCCCAACCGAAGAATAGACACTCCTAAATCAAAGAAAATGACACAAACACACGCTTACGGCACAACACAAACACAAGAACAAAAACATATAAATATTTAAATTAAATCCCCCACAGCAGCGAAGCCAAACTGAACAAAAATAACGTCGACACCCATGAGCGACCACCCACACGGACAGAGACTCGATCCACGTCGCAAAGCCAGAAACTGCAAAATAAACGCCTAACTAGATCTGAGACTAACAGAACCTGCCCCTCGCCCTAGTAGACAACCCCTAGACCCGCAACTAGAGATCCACAACATACTCCACCATCCCAACGCCACGACCCGAGCCTAGAATACGAGACCTGACCCCGACTCAACTCTCCCAACGCAACCCATCGGCCCGAAAGCAGAGAGAAGAATGGGAGAAGGGAGGGAAGTGAAACAGACTTGATCTAAGCCCCAACCACCACCAAGCCGTAACCCTCTCTCGCAGACTCGCCGGAAACTCGCCGCCACCCAGAGGCCGGGGAGCCGCCGGATCTTAACCCTCCTTGGCGACCTAGTTGGAGGCGAAACCCAAATTGTGGAGAACCCGCCGTCTCATCCGAGAAGAGGAAGCCGCCCAATCCGATGAGCCTTCGTAAGCCGACTGCACGGCCCCGTGATGCTTGCAACCATGATGGCCCGGAGACCCTGTTGGGGGAAGGCACATTGCTCGGCGGATTAGGTTTGTAGGAAAAATGGGGAAAGCTGCATGGAGAAAGATACTTTTATTTCCAAAGTCCATTTTTCGACGATTCGTTATTGTATGAATTTTTATTGTGATATGCACTTTTTGTTGGAATTTTTGTTTCACCCATATTTCAGCTGTCGGAAACTATGTCGTAGAATCGTCAAAATCCAATGAAAAACTCATTCAAACGTAATATTTTCGTTGGAATTTCTATTGGAATCCATTGAAAAATTCCAACAAAAATATTAATTGAATTGAAATTTCCATTGGAATTCTGGTTGGAATTTTGTTGTAATCCCATTGGAATATATATCCGTTAAAATTTTATTTTTAAAATTTCATTATTTTCTTGTAGTATCTCTTATATTTTTTTTTTCAAGAATTTAATTGGTTAACAAGCAACTGTAGTATTACACTATTCATCACTTTTTGGATTCACTATTTATCTAAACTTAATAAGAGTTATTTAGATTTAATAACAAAATACAGGGGGAAAGATTATCCATAAATTTTACCTTTACAGTCAAGATTTTTCAATATTTCAACAAAATAAAAAAAATATGAGATATATCTTTAAACAATTAAAATTGAGATAAATATTTAAATATACATGTCCAACTACAACCTTGTCGAATTCGTACGGTCACTCAAAAATAAAATGAATGTACGCCCCTTGGTCATTGCTTTGTTAACTATAAAATCTTTAGATTAAACATGACACAAAATGAATAATATAGACTCAGCAAGTTCATGAGTATACTGCAACTCGGGCCAATTTCCCTGAGAAGCTTTAATTTTGCATTAGGGAAGTGCTTAACTTCGTACAATTTCTATTAATCGGTCAAAGATTTTCCTAACATTGGAAATTGGCCCGAATCCAAATCCAAATCTGTTATTAGGATAAATTGATATGAGAAAATTAAAAACTTTGAAATTCACCAAATGGGACTTGTTAGATGTGGGTATCAGATTCTCTTTTAGTTTCTGATCCATGCAAAAATCCAACCCAACAAAAGCTTTGTGATCACTTTAAGTTTATNTCGAGAAAATAACCACTCCAATTGATGGCATACAACAAAAAATAAAATTATATAGCTGGTTGGCTTCGATTTGATACGTCGAGTACACCCTAATTTTGATAGCTTTCGTCTTTTTCTCTTTTTTCCTTTCGCACTTTTATCCGCTTTGGCATCAAAAGTAGAGAAAGATTTGACGAAACTAATAAATATGATTATTGGAAACGGGTCGCAAGTTGGATATGGTTTGTTAGCTTGTTGAATCAGTTGATAAAGGATGATGATTGAATTAACAGTTTTAATTAACTTATTAAATTAGTTGATATGCTAATTTACATGGAAAATTTACTTGTTTTAACTCTAATAATGAAACAAAAAATGGAAAATCCTGCGTTTTCTAAAAAGATTTTGTCCACTCTTATTTATTGCCCTTTACAACTGTACTTTTTTAAGAGCACCAAATAATCTTTTTCAACGCACACCTTTTGGCACCAACTTTTTTTTTTTTTTNACTCAAGATTTAGCATTTCTTGTTTTGTATTTTATAGTTTACTGAACTTTTTTTTTATTGTATTTGTAAATCGTACTAACCACTTTGTCGTATTTCAATTGGTCATTCATGGGAACTTTTTGGTTTGTGCAAAAATTTTGATTAATTTGTTGTCAGTTTAATGTGGCTATGTGTGCTTTTTCTGTGCTCTTTCTTTATACAATGTTTTTAGTATGGATTTTCTGCTTTATTAGAACAGAGTATATGTGTTTGTTCTTCGTAATTATGATGGATTTGAAGTGAGCTGGGTCGAGATTTGTCTCTCAAACTTTGGCCCAACAGTGATGTAAAATTAGGGGCTATTTACATTTGCACCGTGATTGAACATAAAAAATTACAATTTTACATAATTTAAAATTATTTGCACATGGACGAAAATAAAGCAAAATGATTAGGTAGTTGCTAGATTCCAAAAAAAAACTATATTGATAAATAGTTTCCTAACTAAATCCCGTAACCGAAGGGTCACACCATAAAGTGAAATACCATAACTGAATGGATTTAAATTAATAACAAAAAATCACCCCTAAAAATGCTCTCTCTCTCTCATCTCTTTTCTCTCCCTCTCTCATCCTCGTTGACGTTGAAGTGCCGCGAGGTTGACTGAGCGTTGGAGGTTTGGCAAATGACTCGTTCCGATTAAGCCCGCGGCTTTGGGTTAATGGCGGCAGAGACTGGAAGACGGTGAGCATCGACCATATATTGGAGGAGTCCAACTGCATATACAGTTGATGTTCGGCTATTTCATTTATGTACCGTTTATATTACATTTATATACCGTTTATATATAGTATACTGGAAAATATACTACATATAAACACAACATATACAATATATAAACATCACATATACCGTAATGAAAACAACTAAGAGTTGCAACAAGGATATACTGTAAGTATATCATTCGTGCACATATACATAACATAATCGTGTTATATATCGTTCGTTCCTTGCTCTCTCATCCCCAGTAGTCCTCTTTCTCTCTCCTCTGTGACCCTAAATTAGCCGACCAATGGCTCAAGACCACACCCCACTACTCTCTGCCATTAGTCGTATCCATCTCGTCCATCTCGTGTTGTTGCACGTTGGTTGTAATAATCGAGTTTTTGTCGTCGGTACCAATAGATCGAGTTATCACCGCTCTCGGCTGAAGCCCGCCGTCCGACGACCTCCGCCACTCACGATGGAGATAACGAAGGAAAAAAAAAAGTCACAAAGTGAAGAATGGAGTGTGAGAGAGAAGATGATTGATTGGAGGAGGGAGAACCGAGAAAGGTGATGGGAAGTTGGGAAAGATATTTACATCCCAAGAAATCTGCCGTTATCATCTCATATATATGCAAATACTTTTAGCATTTAATTCATATCTGCAAATAAAAAAAATAATCTAGTATATTTGCAAATAATTTATGATTTGACGGCACGTGGCATAATTTTCTCTAAAATCAGGAAGAGTGTAATTACTAATTAGAGGCGAATCCACATTTCTGGAATGCCAGTTTTATGTCTACTTTAAGAGTAATGCTATAGAGCCCACTTGGATGACAATTTGGGTTACAACCCAAGTATAAATGCATTATTTTTTAATTTTTTTATAATGCATTTACACTTGACTTGTAACTCAAGTTGTCATCTAAGTGTAAGCTAAACCACTTAAAATCTGGTCTTATGATATCCATCCTTTTCAGTTCAATAGTTCTTGCATACAGAACTGCAGTCGTTTTTCCTCTGCCATGCAAAATTACATAGTACAAACATTTGCCAAAAGAAGACACCTTTCAGGTTTCACTACCAAAGAAAAACAGATTTCACAAACTAAACACACCCGAAGTTTATAAAGATAGCATTTTTCTTTTTTGGGAAGTGCTATAGGTACATAGAGATGTACATAGAGATTTACATAATACTCACATTGAGTGAGATCCACTAAAAATAAAAAATTAAATGAACCCCACTCCATGTGAGTATTATGTACATCTTTATGTACATTCATTATGTACACATAGCATTTTTCTTTTTTTTTTTTTATTATCCTTTTACTTATCAAATAACAATTGACAAATTTCTGAATCGTTTTGTGGATTTGAAATCGTGGCATGCCCACATCAGACAAACCAGAAGAATGAGATGAATGGATCCTTAATTCGAATGCAGCTTTTCTGCCTTGCTCTTGATTATGCTGCTGCTTCAGTCACTTGACATGGCTTTTATGTTATTCGGAAATGGACCAAAACATTTCTATAGGTTCTGAAATTGCAAGCATGCAAGTATTTTAGTGACGCATCACTGGAGCCTCTCTAAACCTTTCCTTGTCTTCAAACTTGAAGGATCGGGATTTATCTCGTAATTTGTTCTTTCTTAACTTGAGGTGTGCCTATCCCCTTTTCTGTTGTTATGATGCCTTTTGGTTTCGGGTTAGGATTTACCTGGTCTTTTGTCATTTGATCATCAATTGTATGTAGTTCGCTGGAAATTCTGAAGCTTGACTGCCCAAGACTGACCATTCTTTTCCTTCAGGTATGCTTTTTTGGCTGGCTGCATGATGTGAAGGCAGAGTTGAAAAGCAACAAATTGAACTTGGTTTGAATCGTAATCCATAGCAGCATGGCACTCTTCACTTCTGCAGCTCATCCGTATATAGGAAAACTTGTATGCTGGTGTTTTAGGTATTCAGGCAGAGAAGATATTTATAGATCATTTTCTGTGTATCACCTGCTGTGACAATTACATGTTTGTTCATGAGCTTTAAACCTTGATTTTCCCATATAGCGCCAAAGCATGATTTGGCTGAATCTGTATTTTGCAATGTTTTCCGAGAGGTACCATCATCGTACGAGATGCTGGGTGATGTTTTTTCTCAACTTTTGAATATGAAATAAATTTGGAATGTAATGCAAGAAAGAATACACCAAAGTTTCAACGGATGTGAATTTTGTGGTTGCAAAGTATATATATTTAGAGTAGTGATTCCAACTGCTTTAACTGAGGGTCAAAGTTTTCAGGTGCTAACTCGTCTCCAGGGGCCAAATACGCGTCGGCCATGGCCTTCCCCTTGTCCAGCACATCAGCTGGAACGGTTTTGAGAAGGCTGCGAAAATAACAAATGTTATTTATTACTTGTGCTTATCATACATCATTTGCCTAGAACAAATGGCAAATGCAGTGAGACCATAATTCGATAATCAAATTAGTCGTTCCGTAAGGAAAAATTGAAAATTTAGTTTGACAATGGATGTTGCATATTTTTTGGTTCTGTTTCGATTGGTATTTTTTAAAATTATGAATCTTTTTGCTTTTTAACAATTTTTTCCTTCGCTGTCCTTTATCCGAAAAAGGTAATACTGAAATAAGAATAAAAATAACAATAATAAAAAACAAAGATAGGCAATGGCAATTAGGATCATCTGTTACCTGTTCAATGAGTCGATAGTGGTGACAACTTTCAGTTTCATCGGTTCAACTGTGGCCCCTGAATCATTTCTTGATGCCCGCAAAAGCAGAGAATCAAGTTCTTCCAAGGCCCTACAGAGTATATGCCACAAAACCAATACACATACTACATTAAAGCATTTAAACTTCTATTATCTATTAACATTTAGTAGATTTGTTATTTCAATACAGTATTGCACCCAAGTCAAAAACTCCACAATAAAAGAAACAATACCTTAGACACCGATCAACCTCGTCAAAAGCAGATTTTCCGTTTCCAGCATCAGAGGCATATTGTGCTACCTGCATTGTGACAGTCAAGAAACATTTTTATGAATGCACAATAAAGCACGTTAAACGATAATACCATCAGGAAGTCAGCTAGGTCTCCTTTTTAATCTCCCAAAACTAAACAGTTAACTTACTGAAACAACAAAGCTGCCTTACTTTCCATTATAATTTCCATCGAAATGATTTTAACCAAGGGCATGCATCGAATTAGCTTATAGGTGGAAAATAGAGAGATGAGTAGATTAGATGGAAAAGTGAGAGATGAGTAGTTAGGTAATTATCGACTTACTGCTCGAATATTAATACGCAAAGATGCAGCAGGACCAGACCTTAAAAAGCTCCGGCAGTCAGCAAATTTTGGTTGATCAACTTCAAGATATTTCCCTGCAGCACAAGAAGTAACTCATGAAGATAAATGATAGATCCTGCAATTTCCGTTTTTCTAACAACATTAACATGAAAAGAAAAATCATGAGACTTTTCAGCTTTATATTGTCAGTTTCGTTCCCAGCCCAACTCAAATCAGTAAATTAGCCCATGATCGTTACCTAATTCCTTAATCTGCAACTCGGTCAATATAACTGCTGGTATGTAAGCCTCTAGAGGATCAAGCTTCTTCCTAGTAGAAGCTTGTAAAAATTATTACCAATTCAAATAACAAATTAATCGCACATAAANAAACTGTCCAAAGCAGTGTCTAGGAGTCAAATTTATTCCTAGCTAATTATCAAAAGGAAATGAAAAGAAAACTAAAAGGTTCCACTTCAACTCATAATACCAACATCAAGTATAGACTAAAGTGTCACTTGTTTTTAGTCGATCAGCAGAAAATAATGAGGTATTCTCATCATAAGCACAATGTGGAACGAACATATAGCAAACCATCCCTTCGAATTAAAAAAAGGTAACCGCTGGTTCCAGAAATACAAGTCTCATACTTGAACCTAAATCACAATCTGAAGTGAATCTACATTTACACAGCACAAATCCTCCAGGGCATATTGGAGGACCATAATCAGCTCAAGTTCATGTTGCAAATCATTGTGTAAACAAACGTCGCTACTGGAACGGTATCTACCATAATATCCGCACACCAAACAAAAAACTAAATTGGAACTTAAACACAGGCAACTAAAGTAAATTCAAATCATACTTCTTCACATATTTGTCCAACATGCTGGCGCCACTAGCATCTGCAGCCATCAAATAAAGCAACTCAGAGCACAGAGAAAGTTAATCAAAACACAATATCAAACGAAATGAAAAACAGAACCGAAGAAAATCGAGCATAACTCGATTGGTAATCAGAAATAGGGGGAAAAATCAATGCACTTTTCAGCTCAACTCAATGAGTATCAAATTCACCATACAAGCGTATATATAAACACAGGAAAACTCAAGCATACGCTCGTATCATTAGGAGTGGCGCATTGAAAATGCTAGAGACGCACCTTTGGATAGAGAGAAGAAATGGAGAAAAACAAGCGATATAGAGACCGATCGCCGGCTGTCGCGCCTCGTCTCATGGAGGACGGCGCACTTCACTCTGCAGCTAAAATTGACTCGCGATGGCCGTACAGAGAATCTAGGGAGGCGCGAGAAAGGAATAACTGAACCTCGGCGGCCGGTGCTACTGTGCACGGTGGCGGGTACGGCGGTGGTGGTCATCTCGCGGGCCGGGCAGTAATTTAGGGGCGAAACCGTTCGGGGTTCTTATCCAGACCAATCGTTGCTAGTCACGAAACAGAAAAATAAATACTACACGTTTTTACCCCTATAACTGGATATGGTTAGACATGTCAAAACGGGCCGGCGGCCGGGCCGGCACGCAGCCCGCCAAAACCCGCCGTTTGGCGGGGCGGGCCGGCCCGCAATCATGGCGGGCCTTTAAATAGCCAGCCCGGCCCAACCCCGCCACGGGCCGCGGGTTAGGCGGGCTGGCCCGCTGAAACTGTTTAAAAAAAAAAAGAAAAAAAGGGTTTGAGTTGCGATCATTTGCCAAGTGAAAAATTGGTCTGGGGCTTTTAAATTTTCTTCAAATTCAAGAAAATTTATAAGATTAATAGATAGGATTACAAAATAACCATTCAAAGCCGTGCCAGAAATTGGCCATATGTAAAGCCCATTCCAAGTAACAACATTTTAATTCACGAAATTAAAGTTTAGAAATCAGAGTTCACAAATCATTGTTCAAAATCCATCCCCAAATCAACATATCTGCTGCAGTCTTGTCGCTCACCGCTCGAGTTCCGCTTCCTCACACTTGCAGCACGCCGGTCTCGCAGTTCCCGCTTCTTCGCCGCCGGCGCCGAGCTTTCGCCAGCCGGCTTCTTGCAGTGCCGCCGCCGTGAGGGATAGAGATTCTGGGAATAGTTGAGAGTAAAGGCTGGAGAGATTACTAATTAGGCTTGAGTATAGGCTTATTGATTAGGATTTCCTCAGTGCCTGTTTTGGATTTTTTTGTGTGCAATTGTGAGAAGAGAGATGAGATGAGTGTGTATTGGCTGGTTAAATTTTATTTTTTTTATTTTATTTTTTTTTTTAATAATTGCGAGAAGAGATGAGATAAGTGTGTATTGGGTTTGGGGCTTGGTAAAATATTACAAAGATAAAAATCGTTTTTTTTTTTCTCAATAAGTGGCGGGCTGGCCCGCGGCCCGCCTGGCCCGCCCTGTCAAAACCCGCGGCCCGCCATTTGACGGGCCTTCAAAATAACAGCCCAACCCGCTTATTTGGTGGGGCGGGGCGGGGCGGGCTGGCCCGCGGGCTTGGGCCCGTTTTGACATGTCTAGATATGGTACGTAAAATACCTGATCGACTGGAATCGACCTCGCCTGGAACTTCCTCACCTGTAGATGACCTGTGGACCTGCAAAACCTCTCACACCTAGGGGTTTTAAGGTGAAGAGCATCCGATCTTAAGTAGGTATGTTTTCTGGTGAAGAGTGAGTATGTGTGGAAGATAAAGTGAAGAAGAATATTGGTATAATATTGAATGTAATGGTTGAAATTGCACATCATACCCCTATTTGTAGGAGTAGGTTACCTGCTTCTAGAAGCCTGCTTGGATTTGGTGAGCTGGCTGCCCAAGATGTCCAGGTTGCCCGATAGTACAACCCGCTTTGCCCACTCTATCGGAGACGGTTAGAGGTGTAGACCAATTAAATGATGTCTCGCGTCCGTGTCCATGTGTATCATTAGCTATAGCAAGATTCTTTCGTATCCTTTAATCCTTTGTATTAAACCGTCTAATGGTACGACCAACTCGAGGTCTGTTGAGGTAGAATACTGACTATTATGGGTCCTAGTGTTGTTCTTTTTGGTCGATAACACGACCGATCGTGCCTATAGGTCGAGTTTCTACCAGGCCATCCGGGGGCCATAGCTCGACATGTTATTGCTGCCTTGTACCCCTTAAGGCTCTCAATCCTGCATTGGTGGCGTTCGACAACAACCATCAATGTCACGATTCTCCTCGACCAGACGGTGTACTTGGCCTATCGACTGGTTTATTCGTTTAGGTATGGTATCTCATATCATCTAGTCCCCCACTCTGGTCGAGTTGGAATAATTCGATCCAAGAGTAGATGTTTTTCCTTGTCTTCAACTGGTACGCTATGTCCTTTGATTTTCGACCTATCTGTCTTTCACTTCATGATTTTCAACATCTTCCCTCCATGGTCTTCAGTTTAAACTTTGATTTCAAATTTCCAATATTCCATCAACCCAGCTTTCTTGTCAGACCTTCCTAAGCACGTGTCTTGCTGACACCACTCCGTGAATCGCCCTGTCTCGTACGTTGAACCCATTATATGCTTTATTTAAAGCGACCGTTGGATTAATACATTTAATTCAACGGTTGGCGATCCGACGCCCTTTCAACTAGCCGTCGCATCTAAGCCATTAATCCCTCATCTCATCCAACGGCCACCGATCGGCCGAACCTTCCACTTACCAGCTCTCTCACCTATAAATACCCCTGAAATAGAATTTCATCGATTTTCCACCTCTTCAAATTTCTCACTTACATTTGTGCCCCTGTTTCAAGTGTTCTGCAATCAAGCTCTTCGCAATTTGAATTCTCCAAGCTCTCAAAGCAACCATCACTGATCACACCAATGAGTATTCTTCTTTTAAATTTTTGCTTTTTGTTTGAATTGCTCAATTTTGCTATTCTGATCATTCAATCTGCCCGCCACGACTTCCTCTTCCTCATCCTCCTCTCCACCCAAGAACCTCAAAATTCTTCTCTTTTAATTTTTTGATTGTCTCTTTTTCCAGACTTCGGTACCTCGAACAAAAAACGACCGCTTTCTCCGCCAAGGACATGAGGTTGATGGTTTTGTCAATATTGAGGCGATGGCACGCGACCTCTGGATCGGTACCCTTCATATCTTCGTGGGACCATGCAAAGACATCGAGATTGTCTTTGAGGAAGCCAATTAATTGAGATCGGTAGGGCTCAATTAGGTTTCTGTCGATCTGTAAATATTTGGTGAAGAGAGGCTCGTCCATGCAGACAGAATCGACCTCTTTCACTGGTTGAGGTGGTGTGATATTTCGGTTCTTGAAGGGAAAACAAGGGTACAATTCGTCGATCAGGGTCATGGGCTCTTTTCCAAGGCAGCGTCCTCGATCTCGGGTAAGGTCTAGCTCGTCTTCGCGAGACGGTTAGGAGAACGCCAACAAGGCGTCTTCAATTTGGAGGGTAAATATTTGCCTAAAATGGATCTTCATAATACATTCACGGGCGACACGTCGATCGTCATAATGAATACATTTCCCATCGTCGGCTTGTTGGGAGTTTGATCTATTTGACTGTCACTCGACTTGATATAGCTCATGTTGTTCATATTGTGAGTCATTTTATGGTTGCTCCAAGAACCACTCACATTCTGTTGTATTGCACATCCTTTCCTGTTTTAAGGGTACTCTATTGCATGGTTTACACTTCTCGCCCCATTCTTTCTTGAACTTAGCGGCTATTTTGATGCAGATTGGGCTGGTGTTCCTACTGATCGTCGCTCCACTTATGAGTTCTGCTTCTTTCTGGGTGTTTCACTGGTCTCTTCGCGCAATAAGAAACAAACATTTGGTTTCCAGATCGATTGTTGAATATGAGTACAATGCTCTTGCTAATTCCACCTTAGAGCTATTGTGGCTATGTCGGCTACTTGTTGATCTCAGTGCACCTCAGTCACCGTCTACTGGTTTACATTGTAATAATCAAAGTGCTATAAAGATGTCTCAAAATGATATCTTACATGAGCGCACCAAGCATATTGAAATTGATTGTCACTTTATTTGACTACATGTTGTTAATGAGACTGTGCAACTTATTTCAGTCTCCTATACGGATCAAACAACAGATGTCTTCACCAAGTCTCTCTTTCTCAGTGTTTTTGGTTGCTTCTTAGCAAACTCAAGTGATCTCCACTATAGCAGCTTGAATTTGAGAGGGGTGTTAGATATATAATTCTAATATTGAGAAATGCTACAATCCCGTTACGGAACCATTCCGTCGGGATTTGTAACCGTTAGATCATCATGTAACCGTCGTGGATAGTTGATCTAACGGTTACCAATCCCGACGGTATGATTCCGTAACGGGACTGTAGAATCTCCCATATTGGGATATTATAGAGTATTATTATTGTACTATAGGCTAGATTATGACGGCTAAGTTGAGACTCATTCTAAGGTTAACCGTGAATATACAACATAATTTTACTTCCTCACGAGAATAATTTTTCGGTTGAAAATGACTTAAAAATTAAATTTCCATTACACTGCCTGGGACCAAACTGAAATATTGGGGGCATCTATGACGTGTGGTGTCGGTGACCGCTTTTATTAATGTCCGTCCGACCGAGGCCAGCTAACAGGACAATAAACTTCAACAACTCGTTCATTTTTTTCCTGTTATTATTATTATTTTCTCACAGCAAAAGCTTTCTTCATACTTAATCCCTCTCATATTCCAAATCCCATCAATGGCGAGCACCTGGGCTTACGCTCTATTCATTCTCTTCATCTCGGCCTCCGCTAATGTTCAGAGTAAGATTCTTTTATTTCTGTAAAATGTAATTTTGCGCAACATTTTTTAATTTAGTGAGTTGTTGCATAATTATAGCTGTAGATTGAGCGGAGACGTGATAATGTATGGAAAGTGTAGGTGGCTGCTTGATAACTTGAGTTTTTTTATGCTAATTTGTGATTATGTGTCATTTCCTTTTTTGGCGCATTGTGTTAGAGGTAGTAGGTGGAGTACTAATTTGGTTTCGAAAGTGTGGAATTTATTACTTGCTTTAATGCCGAGATTTGTTTGGATATATTGAGTCAATTGAAGATAGATCTCTCTGGGTTAGTTGTTGATTTTCCGTGTTTGTGCAATATTTTTGCTGCAGTGATCTTGTGCTGTCATATACATTATTGGTTGTTTTCGACAATATTCGATATGTGTTGATTCTATTAGTTCTAGTCCATATCGAATATCTTGGCGAAGTCCTATATGACAGTGGAGGTATGTTTCATGTATATTTTCTATCTTGTGGAGTTTTTAGCCCTTTCCCATTTTTGAAACACATTCGGGTAGTAGCTTGACATATCGTTATTGCGCCGTTCAATGTTCATATGCTTTTGCTCTGTTTTGTTCTTTCAATCAATAACCAGTTTAACATGCATCAGGTTGTGGGTTGTAGACTTTGTTAGTTGATTAATCTAGAAAGTGCAAATGCATTTGTTTCTAAGCTAATTGGAGTGTGTTTTTGTTATTTTCCTTTTTCAGTTTCAGTTTTCTTTTTTGGAATATAAGTTTTTTCCTATTCATTGTGCTTGTCACTAATGTGGTGAAAATGGTTTTAAATTTGCCTAAAGTTCAAATTAGAGACCTAGTTGCATTTGAAATCCCAACAATCAGCTATACCTCATGGTTAATAACTCCTAGAACTTGTGAACATTTTCATTGCAACTTGTCTTCCTATGTTATGCTTTGTTCTAAATTCTAATGTGCAATCACCAGTTACACCTAGTAATGTGTATGCTTGTAGGCCTTAGCTAGAGTTGCTAAACGAAACGAACTGCTCATGAGCTCGGCTCGACTCGTTGAGACTCGAGTTTGTTGAAAGCTCATTCAGTTAACATGCCGAGCTCGGTTCGTCTAGGAAACTAAAAAAAATATATAATTTTCTGTAGTTCGACCCGTTAATGCTCGAGTCTAACTCAGAGCTCAACTCGTTAATATTGATAAACAAGCTAAGCTCGAGCTCGGTTCGGCTCGATTACACATCCAATTCCGTAACTAGAGTTTACTGAGTAGTCAAATATTGTATACAATCAGTGAAGCGAGAGTCAGTAATTTAGTCACACCTGTCCAAATTGTATTTATTGTAGGACATGTGTCAATACACTATTGGTGAATGGTGAATAAGTGTGGATGGCTCCATAAGTCGAGCCATCCGATGGCTCCATAGCAAAACTATCTTTTAAACATCCTAATTCATTCTTACTACTAATATTGATGTTATAAACAACAGATAAAGTGACAGATAACCCGGCCGACCAGCTAGTAGCCACAATCAACAGCAACAGAAGCGCAAGCAGATCACCTTCCCTCTACAGCAACCCGGGCCTCGCTTGCATTGCCCTCCAATACATCAAAGCCTACCAAGGAGACTGCAACTCAGTCGGGGGCCCGAACGCCAAAAAGCCCGCGGACTCCGAATTCGCGGAGACATTCGCACCCAACTGCAATGTCGAGGTCTCGACTCTCACCCCAATCACGGGCCGCCTGCTCGGGTGTCAGTCGGAGTACGCAAACCCGTCCCACGCATTCTCGGATATTCTGATGAAGAATAACCGGAGCCTGGAGATAGTGCACAGTAGGAACCACACGGAGGTGGGAGCTGCCGTGAGTGGCTCGGACGGTGGTGGGCCCTACTTCTGGTGCGTGTTGTTTAGTGGTGGCAGGTCGAATAGCAGTTTCGTGCTGGAGGGGCACGTGGCAAGGATAAGCAGGCCAGGGTGTTTTAGTGGGGCGAATGACCCGTGCCGTGGTGCGGGTTATACGGTGGGGGCTTCTTCGCCTCTTTGGAGGATTTTGGGGATGTGTTTGGTTTTGTTGATGACAGGACTTTGATTGATTTGTTATAAAGCAGTTGGGTTTCTGGGACTTTTTTATGCTTTGGCTGTCAGATTGGTTTATTGCAGTGATGGGAGGGAATGCGCCAAAATCGGAATTGAATATTT